GCGCAGGAGCTTTAAAATTCTCTCTATCTGATAATATCACACCTCCATGAGATCCTTTCTTGATTGTAAATCTGGACAAATTCAGGTCTCGTTTCTCTTCTTTGTGGAAGATAACTCTTTGACAGTGATAGAAACATGTTAATTTATACTTCTTTTTTGAATAATAGCCCTTTAATCTTCCCTCTTCAAGGTGAGGGTTCACTCTTCTGTTGAGTATGTTGTTAATATATCATGATCTCACGTAGTTTTATGTTGCATTATTCTCTCATTTTCATACAGAAATAGAGAATTTCCATCATTATTGTTCATATGAAACTAGATCATTGAAGTGTCATGTATAGTATTGTAGTACAGAAGTGGAGATAGCTTTTGAATTTCCATTTCAATATTGAATCGGACTCTCTCTCTCTCTTATTGTTATTCTATTTTCCTCTCTTGTCTTTGCAGCCACTTTCTCCTCCCTCTCTGCCCCCTTTCGTCTTTGTCTGTCAGCCTGCTATGAGCGCCGTGTGCAGTTTAACAGGATGATTTGTTGTCACCTAGTCATCTGTCACCAAAAGCTAAACAGCAAGATGAGAGTGTGAGCAGTACTTTCTTGTCTGTAATGAATTATGCAGCAGGTCAGGGGCCTCTGTTATGGTTACAGTCCACAGCACAAACACGGACCTCAGGTAGCGCTCTCATCAGTCCTGCTGTTTCCCCCCATATGGAGTCAATGAACTGGGACACCCTCCTACACACACACACACACACAAAACACAGACACATACACACTTACTGCGCACATTCACATTTGCCTACAGACAAATCATCATTGTAGATTAATGGAGAAATGTTTATATTTGCAGTTTTTCATATAGACCCATCAAAATAAAAGCCAGTTATTTATCTATAGATTTGTTTTACCTATAAAAAAAAGTTTTAGGATAGACAGACTTCACAAGGATGCCAATGCATATGCCTGCTTGTACAATTTAGCCCTTTAATGTCTGACACCAAAAGTTATGGCCAGAAAATTCACATTTTTTGGAGCTAAAATGTTTATTTTACTTATTACAGAAAAAAACAAAAAAAAATCAAATTGTCTTTAGAATTTAACAAATATATTTATTTATCTCGTTTGATACATTAGAGGTTTTTGGAAACTGATAAACTACAAGAGGACATTTTTATCATTTATCGATCTTTATTCAGGTGTTATTTTTAGTAATTTGTTGTTCTTATTGATTTGATAGAAGTATATGAAAGTATGTATCAAATATGATACAAAAGGTATTAAAGGGTTAGTATAACACAGCAGAAACATTTATGAATATGTCAATGTTTTCATTCGGTTGGCCCTCTAAAATTAAAGTCAGTCATTGTCTATGAGGTGATGGTAGGTAAACATAGATTTAAATGGATATTAGTTGGACTCTTGTACCTGTCCCCATCTGATGGCCACAAAATGAAATTGCTGCTGAGGATAAAAAATATCAGAGAAATTCAATAAATCCCCCAAATTAAAAAAACAGCTAATTGAAAAATCCCCCTCAGTGTCTTGCTAAAACAACACAATATCCTTTTATTTCTCACGTCTTTTTGGTGTTTAATTGCATGAAAGGATTCACAGACAAATTGAATTTCAAGTTCCCGCCTCTGCACAATTGAGATATCTGTTACAGATGATGTGCCGTATAATGAATGCCTAATTTATGTAATTAGACCATTAAGCATAATCCGAGCATATGTTGGAAATGCCCTGAGGTCTTCTTGCAGGTAGGATTAGTCCCTCTGATGTCACCAGACACAGCTAATGGAGGGGACTGATGGGAGGACTGTGATTTAAATAAACCATCGATACTTTTTTGTTATGTTTGAATTAGATTTTTATTGAAGGAGGCAGAGATAATTATTGTTTTTGCTCTTTCTTTTTTCTTTTAATCGTTTTGAAAGAGGGTTGTAGTCTGAAGTTGGCCGAAGCAGTGAGGGCATCTCGTCATATCGGCTAAATTTGCCATTGAGGAGGTGAGCTGATGGTGAGAGCCCTCTGTCTGCTAATTAATTGTCACTCTGCTGAATATTCATACCTTCTCATCAGCGCGTCCTTAATTGCACCGTAAAGCATCTCTGGGGGCTGAAAACCACCGCGGACTTCATTAGCAGCGCGCGCGCAGGCCTATTGGCTGATTCTAGACACGACAGCAGACAACAAACCACATACAGGCTATACCTGCTTACAACGTGAACGTGTGCTCCAGGTAGATTGTGGACTTCCTTTGAATCTGCAAGATAATGGAATAATGGAATTGGAAATCTGGTCATTTTACGTGTAATAATCTGGGATTATCAATGTTTTTCTTAATGAGTGTGGATTGATCACCTCTAGCAATGTAAAGATTATGATATAGATAGCATGTACTCAGAAATCATATGTTCAAAATGTAGTAAAATAAAACTGCATTCAAAAAATATCGTTTGATCGGTTTAAAGGTTATCGTCGTGACTTTATTGCCCCCAAAAGTACACAAAGTTGGAAGAAAGGTGCTGGTCTACATAATAATATAAAGATTTCCCCCTACTTTTTAAAACATTGCTTCGCCCTTTGATTCCATATTTTCTTGTGTGATAATAAGCATCACCTCCTGCTTTGACTTTCTCTTAATCGCTCCCTGAAAAGGCAGGTTTTCTTTCTCTCTCCCTCTCTCTCTCTCTCTCTCTCTCCGCAGGTCTGGGTGGCAGCAGATCTCAACTCGATTCACTGTGACAATATTGTTTGGCTATCATTCGCTGCTTTAGGCTGAATGGCATCGATCCTCTTTTAACAACATTTGTTTCCTATTGTGTCGTGGGGGCGCAGCAGAGGAGGGCAGACGTGTGAAAGTGGCTGTTTGATTCTCTTTTTCATCCCCATGACCTCAGCTTTTGTGTCTCGTCACCCTGGGAATGTCACGCCTCACTACTCTACTTTAAGATGTTTCAGAAAGTGCCCTTTGTTTTCGCTCCTCTTCTTTTTTTTTTAAAGCTCACACAAAATTGTTCTTGGTCCCCCCTCGTGTTATAAAGGATACTTCAGGCTGAGGCACGGTTCACAAGTGCAATGCAATTTGGCTTATCCCAACCTTTGTTCGCGCTTCTACAAATGACCAAACATAGTGCAGACTTGATCTACTGCTGCTTGAACTCCGGAGTTTGGGAGCAGCTAAAAACCCCCCTATTCAGATTCAGAGTCATGGTGGTATTTTCACTGTGTGCATTGGACAGGGACAAAAGGGCCTACCAATATCCCATAACCCTGCAGCTCAAAAAGCCACACCGTCTGTGTGTGAGAGGAGAGAGAGAGAGAGAAAAAACTCTTACTGCTGCTCTGAGGCTGGTTAATGCAAATGTTGCAGGTTAACTTGCAATGCGCAAATTTTGGGGCAAAAAAAGACAAGAAAACAGATTAAGTCTGTTTGCATTTTACGCACTGGAATCGTGCGTAAAAAGCAGAGCGTGTAAGGAAATCTAACTGTTATAACACAAAATTTACAATCACATAACAAATTCTACAAAATTAGACAGATTCTCGTTTTTTATTTTAGTTTTTACTGAAGTTTTGAGTGAATGATTGGATAGATCAGTATCTGGATGTCAGAAGATGTTTAGCACTTGGCAGTGTGTTGTCATTATTCAGTGTGTGTGTCTGTGTGTGTGTGTGATGGGTCGACCGGGCCACTTCCTTTTTGGCTAAACCTTTTGAGCTCAACATTAATGTGAGGTGACAGGTGTTAAAAGGCACTCTGCCCGGACAAAAAAGCGACACTGCGCGCTGCAAGCCTGAAACTAGAAATAAAAAATCTGGTAAATTTACTTTTTCTGGAGTTCTAAAAAGCCGTAATTATTATAAATTTATTTTGCACATTTTTAATAATTTCTAGAAAAAATTTTAAAAACAGCATTTCCCCCTCTATTTTGTTAAACAGCTCTTATGCAGCATTAAGGTCTTTTTTTCCTCTGCAGCCTGGGTGAAAACAGCTCGCTGTCCCCCCGCAATGCGATTCCTTTCGTAATCCGTCAGACTGGTGATGGGGTGCATTGTGGATTTATGGGGGGAAATTAGCATAAATTATGAGCAAATCTGCGTGTGCGTGTGTGTGGTCCCTGGCATTGCAAACCTTCCAAGCGGAAAGGTGGCCCTGGCCAAAAGCTTGAATAGCAATAGCTCAAAATAGGCTTTCCATTTGGTTTTCACATTCATATAATTGACTTATGGATATTTTATACAGTTTTTAGCACACCATCCTCAAGGGTTTATTTGCATTTGTGAAGTACTCCGGAATCTTCTTTACATAAACACAATGGACGTGGTCGCCTCATGAAGTTTCAGTTTAGATAACGTTGTTTGCATTGTGTGATGTTTTCATATGTTACTCCTGTTTAGTTCTGATCGAGTCCAGTCTGCTCAGCACGGGCAAATATTAGACGTTGCATCCACATATATGGTATCTATTAAAAAAGGAGAATTTCCACCAGCAAAAAGCAAACGTCCTTTTTTACATTTCCAAAACTTTCACATTAAAAAAAAAACGATTTGCAGCCTTAAAAAACGATTTTAAAGAAGCAGTATCCTCAAAGCAAACAAGAGCATACTTAAAATACTTTTATTTTTAGCATTAGCAACACATTTTCACCAGGACAGATATCCTAACAGTAAAAATAATTTTCACGTCTGTTCACATTCATGTCTACTCGCGAATCGTTACCGTAAAGTCCTGCCGAAGAAGCTTTAGCGCATACCTTCACACACAGAGTGCCATCGCAGTTCAATTCCGGTTGCCGAGCCTTTTCACCCCTTTTTTCTGTCTTCAAATGGAAATGATTTCCATTGGCCCAAGGTGTCCATGTAAATAGGTGTAAATGAAACCAGATTATGCCTTCCTCCCCAGCCCCCCTCGCCCCCCCACCCACTCCCATGGCGATTGTCATGTGATAGCAAAGAGGTGGCACATTAATGGAGCGCCTCTACAGGGGTCTTTTCTGTTCATGTCACTACATAAAACTATCAGATGGTTAGAGGAAGGCCATGGAGGCAGCCACTTAGCTCGTCTTACCAAGGACGCCAAATGAAGTCTGTTTAGCTCTTCTAGCGGGACAAGCTGACTTACTTTGCAAGAGAGACTTCCAGCAGCCGTCACTCCATAAATGTGCACCGCCCGCCCGCCCGCCTGCACAGCGCACACCGACGGACAACCTGGCTCTTTTACGCGCGACGCAACTCCAGCTTTTTCCTGATTTTGAACTTTCATGTGCGGTTGTTTTCATGAAGAACTGCAAGCTTTCACCTAGGAATTAAAGAGGGACTACTTTTTTTTATAATTCATCTGAAAAATATCAAGGATGCCTCGTCCGGGGAGAAACACGTACAGCGACCAGAAGCCTCCCTACTCCTACATCTCCCTCACTGCCATGGCGATCCAGAGCTGCCCGGAGAAGATGCTGCCTCTCAGTGAAATTTACAAGTTCATCATGGATAGATTCCCTTACTACAGAGAAAACACTCAGAGGTGGCAGAACTCCCTGCGCCACAACCTCTCCTTCAATGACTGTTTCATTAAAATCCCGCGGCGCCCGGATCAGCCAGGTAAGGGCAGCTTCTGGGCTCTGCACCCCAGCTGCGGGGACATGTTTGAGAACGGAAGTTTTCTGAGACGCCGAAAGAGATTCAAAGTGTTGACTTCGTCCGATCACTTGGCGCCCAGCAAGCAGTCGGATGCGGCACATTACCTCCAGCAGCAAGCCAAGCTGAGGCTGAGCGCACTGGCAGCCACCGGCACGCACCTGCCCCAGATGTCAACCTACAACCTGGGAGTGACTCAGACGTCAACTTTCAAGCATCCCTTCGCCATCGAGAACATCATAGCCAGAGAGTACAAGGTCCCGGGCAGCCTGGCCTTCTCCACTATGCAGTCCATGTCTGCTGGATACCCGCTGCACAACCAGCTGACCACAGCGTGGCCCCACATGTACAACACCAGCGTGATTGACACGGCGGCTCCAATCTCCATGGCGAGCAGCGACTACAGCGCGTACGGCATGCCCATCAAGTCTCTGTGCCACGGGGGACAGTCTTTACCCGCCATCCCGGTGCCCATCAAGCCCACCCCGACCTCCATGGCGGGCTTCTCGGCGTTACCGCCACACATCCCGGCGTTTCTATCAAACTCTCCGCAGTCTCTGAGCCCGACGTCCCCACAGACAGCGACCAGCCAAAGCAGCCCCGCGACCCCGAGCGAGACTCTGACGAGCCCGTCCACGCTGCAGTCTGTGGCTGTGCACTGACCACATTAACTCTCCCAATAATAAATGATAAAAAAAAAGAGAGAACTGCTGAGGCCCTCTTTATCGATCCCAAAGTTTATATTTTCTGTCGTCGGAAACTATCAAGGCGAGTTGCAGTTGCATATCGATTTATTTGTGTATGTGTTGAATGTGTCGCTTTAAAAACGTGTCATAGAAGTCCAGCACAGAATCGCACAGCGAAGTATTGCTCTTGAAAATATAAATTATTTGATAGTTCTAGTTTTCAGTTTGTTGTGACATGTGGAGTGTTGGAAGTGGAGCCACAGAGATGGAGGAGGAGGAGGAAGTTCGTTTTGACAAATCTCCACTCTGTTTCACTTCCAGTTCTCGTGGCAGATACTGATTTTTATTTTTGTTTTTGTTTTTCTTTTCTCAGTTTGATCAAGACACAGATCTTTTGCACCCGTGTTTGTGTGACCTCTGTAATGTCAGTGAAATAACGAGGCAATGGCTCTGGAGTTTCTGTTTGCGTTTAATACTGGAACCACAAAGGAGGAGAAACCAAATAGGACTAGGATTTAGATTTGTTCTTACATGACCTGTATAAAAAAAATAAGAGAGCAAACTGAAATCTTTTAGATGGAGAAAAGTATCGTGAGACGTCCTCGAAATGCAAGATGTGAATATTGCAAATAAGTGACACTGAAATGTTGTAAAATGCACTTTTTAGTTTTATGTTTTAGATATCTATTTTCCAGAAAATGTTCTGTGAAGCATTTAATTTAAAAGGCTGTGGTGACCATGTGTAACAGAAGCTGTACATTTCTACTTTTGTTTTTATTTTTTAGGTATAAAAGCATGCATTCTAAAAAAAACAAACAATTTGTGTTGTTACTTGTTGCTGTTATTGTTGTTGGTTTGTTTGTTTTTGTTTGTTTTCTTATTTTGTTTTTTGTTTTTGCAAGCATGCGTGCTTTGGAAAAGTGTGCAAACATTCTGCAATGAATTGGACAAATGAGCTGGTCATCGAATTATTTTCTCATTAAAAGTGAAGTAAACAATCAACAATGTTTCTGCACAGTCATATATTAACCTTGTCCTCTTATTGTTGTTATTTGTATTATTACTTAAGTAGCAAAAGGAAGTAGCAAAGGTTTATTTTTGGATATGAAAATGTTTCCAGATAGTTTTCTTTTTACAGTTTTAAAACAACAATAATATTAATAAAAAATAAATAAATAAAAATAATAAATAAATAATAATAATAATAAAAGTAGTAGTTGTGTGTCTAGGCCTGCTAAATTCTAGTCTTTGCTGTGCATGGCTGCAGTGTGTGCAGAGACATGGATGGTGCAGTGCATTAGGATGCATAGAGCTGCGATGCCATGGTCACAGCGCAGACAATTGAGCTCATTCATCAAGCTGCTGCCTGATCACAATTAATCCCCAAAATCAACATTTAAAGAAGAGCTACACAAATGGATATTGTTGCTTTTTAAAAAATAATTTCACAGCCGAGGCATTTCCACTCTTGATTGTAACACCAGTGTCGTATATTTTTCTGAGTGCAACAGGTTTGTGTCCACAGACAAGGATTTGTTGGAAACCAGTTTTCCGCGTTTTATTCGATTTGGATCGAAACACGTCGAATAAATTCTCGTCTTTATTTGTCTCCTCTATACGAAGCGCTGGTCCATCTCGGGGTATTAAACAAATACATTAGAATTCCGTCACTTTATGCAATCGAGTGGATCAAATAAAGGCTCTCGGGCCACTTCATTCTCCCTCATTCAGCTGAATTGAAAGTGCAAAGAATGGCAAAGTTAGACTGGGCCACCAATGTAGATTTAGTCTTTTTTCAGCGAGACAAAAAGACTGATTTTTCACAAACACATTGCTGACTGGGGAACTAGGAAACGAGCTGCAAGACCCTTTTGGAATTCAAATCCACCCCTCCCCCCACGGACTATTTGGACAACAGTGTTAGTTTTTTTTTTTCTTTCCTCCCCACTTTGGGCGTTTGTGTGTGTGTGTCTGCCTGCGTGTGTGTTACATTAATTGTGTGACTGTGGATATTTAAACATTTTGATACAGCAAGGCCAGAGCAACAGCTTTTATTGTTTTTAAAACACATTTGATTTATTTTAACAGACTTTAAACTTTGTTTTCTTCACTCACTGAAGCAAGTAGCTAAAAATCCCCCTGAAAATAAATACTATAAAAGTCATGGAAGTATTGCCTCAAATTAACAATATATCTAATATATACCTGTGTGTGTTTTTGTTTTATTTTAAATTTAAGATGACCTTATAAATGTTAAATACAATATGGTAACATGGACGTTTGAATTTTGTATTAATCCTCGACTGTGAAATATTAAAACAATATAATCAAAAGTCTCATTTAATGTATTCTAATGTAATCTGTAATCATTTAATGTAATCTGCTCTGGAGCACCAATGCAATATCTAAATAGATTTTTGCATTAAAAAAATTTTTTAATGTGGTTGTTCAACTAAAGTTTTATGGGATTTTGCAAAACTATGTTACAATTTTTGCACCTCAGGGTTGAGGAGCCAAAAATCTTTTAAAGGGATGTTGTTTGGCTGGGATTTACTTATGCGAGACAATTAAAATGTTGGAGAATAATTTAATACCTTTAGGATTCCTCATTGAATCAAAACCAACAGGTGATTGAGAGAAAAAAAAAGAAAACATAAAACACCTTGTTCTCATAAAATTGCCAAGAAAAAGTGGAACATCTATTTTGTTCAATCTGAGCATTTTTGGTGTTAACACAGAGACCCACATTTCTGATTTCTGTCCTTCCATACTAAAACTTTCCCCTTTCCCCTTCATTTCATGGATATTATCCTCCTGAACGGAAGAAGCATCATCAGTATGAACTCTGTTGAATAATCCACAAATGTGTCGTCCTTGGTCTCTGTTCCACTTAGACAAAGAAGAAGGTCATCCCAGGCAGGGGATGAAATATAGACCACATGCAAACCCTCAATGTTGTAGTTTAATTAAAATAATTCATTAAAGTGGAGGCCCTGGGTAATTAGCATGTATAATTTATGATTTGCTTAATGCATGCAGGCAGTGGCCTCCGCAATAAACTCAACTTAACCTCAAGTAGGGAAGTGATACAGACAGGCTGCTGTTATTTACTGTGTGTTTATTGTTGGGATATTTGTCAAGAGGAAGCAAGTGTTTCATAAAATAAATAAAAAAATAAATGGGAATTATCTGGCCTCCACTGCACACAAACAACTTATTTGTTTACGAGTTTATCTTGTGGATTTATGCCCACTCAGAAGAGGGGCTGTCAGGTTTGTGGTGAGGAAGAGGTATCGGGAATCAGCCTCACTTCCTTTTTTTAATGTACTATTTCATTTTTTTTTCTTTTTAGCACACATCTTTATGTGTGTTTACACTTATCCTGATGGTCACTGGTGTTGAAAATAGTTTCTCTTTAAACTGACAGAATGAGGACGCAGCGAAAGGTAGCGGACTGTCAGCGCTGACTTTTAGAAAAAGACGACGAAGAAGAAGAAGAAGAAGCCAAACAATCAGCGATAGACAAAACCTGCATTAATTATACTCTGCAAATGTGTCAATCCCTGACAAGCCCCTGACATTTTGAAACATGGCCAGTGGCTATATTTGATTATTTTCTGCTAGTACATGTAGATTTTTTTCCCTTTTTTTTGGAAAAACAACAAAGTTAAACAAATATTTTTAAATGGAGCTATGGGCCATGGTAAACAGATTTATTTTAGTGCTAAATAGACGGAAAATTGTGCCGTCCTCCAGGCAAGGAAAGGAGCTACTGCTTAGAAATGATTATTTTTAGACATCTTTGAACACCTTTTTTAAATTAAACAAATTATTTGCTCGGTTGTTGAAGTTTTCATCAGAAATCGTTCTCATGTTTCAAGCGACGCCTCAATAAGAAACTTTGCAGGAACAATATCTGATTGTATCATGATTATAACACTCTGTGGTTAACTCATGACTCTTAGGTTAAATACATTACATGGCCGTGTCGGGGGTCAAAGGTCAGGTATAGTGGGCAGTTGCAGGAACAGGCAGGGGAATGCAGCAGCAGCAGCAGCAGCAGCAGCACTGAAGGCTGGCTCAGCCAAACACCCATGTGTGCATGAAATTAGAGTGTCAACATCTGATTCATGCTGCAGGGTGGTGACTGTGAAACAAATTATGTCAGCGGGTGGCAGCGGTGCAAATTCCAGACAGTGGCTGCGTGGCGGATAAAGCAGGCCGTAGATCTTATTTTATAAACTGTTATAAAACTTTTGCTTAATAGGAGGATAAAAAGCTTCGCAGATAACACTCCGGGAAAATGAGAGGGGATATATTGTCAGGAGTTGTGTTTTTCAGTGTGATCTTGATCTGTGAAATTTAACCTCTCTAATGGAGGAAGGTGCTAAAAAGATCTAATGGTTCCAGGAAATGGGGTGATAATTGTTATTCAAGATAATGATGCATATTGGCACAGACAGGGTGTGAGTGAGGTGCAAATGAGCGAGTGTGTCTGACATTTCAGCAACAAAACAAGGTTTATATAATAAAGAAAATCTCATCCAGGAAACGCTGAAATCTCTTCAAATCTAAATCCAGTCAAAACACAAACAGAGATCTGTCCTCGGTGCTTGTGAATATCTGTTTTTCTCTTCTTTTCACCAGTTTCTGTGGAGTTTCTCTTTATCTGTGGGGGTCTCTGAGAGTAGAGGTTGACTTTTTTCGAAGCCCTTTGAAGACCAGTCGCTGTGATTCACCGTTGTATTAACACTGACTTGACTGTCAATCATAGTGATATTTTTTAGGGGGAATTTCATACAATTCTGACCCCGGTTTTACATCGCAATGACAATCTGATACTGAATTTCACTTCACGGCGTATGATGCAACCCTTCGCGCCGTCTCTGCACATAGATGGATCGCTTGTTATTAGTGTGTGAATGTCAGGCGGGTTGAGACAAGGTGAGACAGATAAGCAACAGATTCATCAAACTTCAGGCTCCAGCTCTGTCAAACTCAGCCTTGTAGCCATTACAGCTGACATCTGACTCACATGTTCTTCTTCTTCTTCAATTCTTCGTCAAAGTGGGTTCAGAAAACAGTTTGAATCTTCAAGCTTTGGTTACATATAATAGTGTCGTTTTCCTTCACACGAGTAGCTAATTATTCTATATTGATTCCTCTGTGATTACATTTTGCATGTCTGCGTAGGGCGTGTTCTGAGCGTCTACTTGTCTTGTCTAGTTTTGGAAATCAGTGTAACTTGCAAAGCTTGGAATGACTCCTCTATAGCACCCGTTTCGTTGAGTCTGAACAAATGTCAACCCTCAGCATGGGAAGTCTGCTAAACGCAAACAAGCAGCCCTAATGAAGGTACTTAACAGATTTGACACTGCGATGTTTTCTGTTCTCAAGCGCGTTAGCTTGTAGGTGCTACATCTGTAACAGAATCTGTGGGTTTTAGCAGCCTGCTATTTCCCCTTTTAAATGTTGGACGAAAAGCTCATTTATCACCTCTCCTTGGGATCTTATCGTCCCCTCTCCAGCCATAAACTAACACTTACACAGAACTTCAAAGGTGCACCAGATAGCAGAGGTGAGAACAGAGGAGGGAGGGCTGCATCCACTCGGGGGCCAGCTCCTTCCAGAGAGATGAGATGGAGCTGATTAGCAGGATCGTGCAGCGAGAGCCCCGTGGGCCAGCAGCTGGAGGAGCGCTCCCAAGAGAGGTGTGAGTTTTGACAGCTCCTGTCTCTCCCCCTCTGGATACCGCGGGGTCAGGGCACCCTCAGTGGGGCCCGGGCTCCTCGCTGGATAGGAAGTCGGCAGTAATTGCCATTCAGCCGGTGGGACAGAAACAAGAGGCAACAATAACCAGCGAAAGAACACACAGCCCCGTTTCCTCTTTGTCTGTTTGAGGAAGGATGCTACCTCCTCTCGGACAGAACAAAGCCTCAATAAACTTCTCACAATTACAATCTTGCCAAAGTTGCAGAAAAAAAAGGGAAGACATATCGGCCCTAGCTGGACACTTGTGGCCTCTTCCTCTCTGCGAGCGGAGCCCAGATGGCTTCTTGTTACGGCATCACAAAAACCCACATTGTTCTGTTAATGTAACTTCATCTGGAGCTTTGATCTGATCTCATGTTGTCCCGGCCAGTGTGAAAATCCCTATCAAGTGCATGATCCAGCACTGCGCTCATTGTGATTGTGATAAGCTCCTGTATTGAAATTCCACTTTGTTCTTTTGTTTCTTTGTTAGCAGACACAATGTGAGGTTAATTAGCAGCCACTAGTAACCTCTGCGTTCCTGGATCCTTCATCACAGCTGAAGAGTACTCGTCACTGAGGTCTGCTGGCACTAGCAAGACCAAACACAAGGCCCGGAGCCAATTGAAAGTTAGCAGAATACAAATGCGGGAGCATCTTAATCCCTTTCAGACGAACACGAGTATAATTGTTTCTTCAAGTCTTTAATTGCTCTCATCATTGTTGCTTTCTCGCACTGAAAACACACAGTATCAGGATGTGTTTGCAGAACAGGTTGCAGTGTTCAGGTTTGTCAAACATAAAAAGGCTTTAATCTGGTTATAATTTGAACCCAAGGTGTCACGGGGCATTTTTCTGTCCTCCTATGTGTCGCACAAGCTCTCAGCTCGGCGCCATTTATCTGCAATATTGTCCCTTCCGCCACTTCAGAGTTCCCCCCATTCCCTGGTGGTCTAATTTATGTTAAGTCACAAACCTCCCCTATGGCTGTTTTGAAATGTTCAGAATGGAGACTGTGTGCTCCAGGTTTATGCCAGCACACCACAATCCCCTGTATAATTGTTCTCTATGGGAAAGCACATCTCAGTGAAACCATCTGCAAGTCCATGGGGCAGTTTCCTAAGAATGAGTGGACTTCTTAGGAGTGGGGGGGTTTCCACAGCAATCCAGTTTCTCTTGTGAAGCAAGTAATTAATTCAAATCTCAGGAAGTCAATGGCCGCCTGGATCAGAGGAGCACGTCGCTAGCCACACAGCTGCTGATACCGCCGAAACACACTGCTTGTCTTCTCAGGAAGTCGCCACACAAAAAGGGTCACAATAGGCGCACACATCCGTACAAGCTTCAGATAATACAGATTTTAAACTGTGATTTTTGTGCGCGCTTCTTACACTTCATTAATCTGAGCCGTGGTGATGATGATAAGAGTCACCAATACTCTTGGGAAACGGGGTTCTTTATGAATGATGTAATATACTGACATTGAACAAGCTTTCAAGGTTCTGTGGCTCCTCTAGCAATAATTATTTCACCTCACGTTGATAAATGGTTCGAGACTTTCCTTCAGTAGTCGGAACATTGG